GAGAGGCATAATCCGATTATCACATTTTTGTTGGCACCCTCCCATGCAAATTACGGAGCGCAATGACTTTACCCCGCGGTAGGAGGAACTACGTTATTAAATGGGTAACACTCTCTTCGGCGGTTATGAAGGCCAAACTTGGAAGCAACATCGCAGGCCGGCTGGATCAGATTCTAGTGATAACCGCTGATGTTTAAGCCGAGTGAATGCTCTTTAAGAGCAACTGAATCTGGGCTGCCCAACCCTGCTGTTTAAATCATGTTGGCCCATCGCTTGAGGGACAAACACATAATTCCTGATTGATGCGAGAGGCTGGCAGGGAATACGGTATGAGGAAACGCTGAAATCTGTGCTCAAGGAGCAAGTTGATTCCTGAAGAGTTCGGTGACGTGCTGGAGTGGAATTTTAAGACAGTAATCAAGGCATTTTGACAGACTATCACCCGCCTCTGAAATGAAAAGAAACGAAGTCCAGCAGTTCTGAACGACAAGTTCGGGCAGGATGACTAAATTTTCTTTGGCGATGACGAGAGTACATATATGAACTTTTTAAACCTGAACAACCGCAGGAAGACTCACCTGAAAGATATCAGGCAACAGATATTCATCAGGAGATCAGGAGACATGGCAGTGGTATTTGCTTTCGGTAGGCGAAGTCATGCAAACTCTAAAATGCTTGCAAAGTGGCAAAGCTGCTTGAATCGATGAAATCCGCCATGAGATGCTTAAAGCTTTAAACAAACAGTGTTGTAGCTAAAACGTATCTGCCAAATTGCAATGGCTGCGGCGAGGACACTAGTGAACTGGGGAAATCGAGTTATATCCCTGTTCAAGAAAGGATACTATAGGGATTGGTCAAATTATCGGACATTGCCTAATTGAATTTCTATGGAAAAGCCTGTTTAAAAGCATCAGAAAGGAGCTGCCACGGAAGAGATGACTCTAATATTCAGGATGAGCAGTTTAGCTTTAGGTTAGACCGAATCTCCAATGGCTATCTATTCGCCTTACGCAAAATTGTTGAAAATTGCGGAACTTCGCTAACTCGGTCTACATGTGCTTTGTTGACCTGTAGAAAGTCTGCAACAGGCTGCGGGAGTAGCTGAAAACACACGAAAACGTGGGCAATTAGTACTGTTACTGGTCATACCGTAAAACATGCATGCTGATCGTAGCTTCTGCTTCAGGGTAGATCAAGACCTCCACAAGTTGGTACTTCTCTCCGCTAAGGCTGTACTCTGTTCCTTTTCCCGTTTATGCTATACATAAATAGGATAGTCAAATGGAGCCAGGGAGACCACTGTGCCAGCATTGGAGATATGGACAATAAATTTGCTGTTTACGGACGATCTTGTTTTGTTGGCATCTTCTAAAGCTGATCTCCAGCGCTTTATGAAAATGTTTAAACCTGTGTGTGGCATGGTGAGTACGCACACGAACGTGCATAAAACAGAAAGCCTGGTGTCTTCTCGTTTTGCTGCCTGTTGCGCTCCGCAGACAA